TGAAAAAAGTATAATAAAATTAATTGGAAAAGTATTTTTAATATGTTTAATTCCATTAGGTTTTGTTTATGAATAATTTAGATTAAATATAAGTGTTTTAACTATTAAATTTTAGAAATAATTTTGGTAAAAAGATATATTGATGTGACACTTGATAAATGAAAAAACAAAAGGAAATATGCCCCATAAGAGAGAAAAATTCTAGGGAGCTCAGCTCAAAAATCCAAATTCAAATTTTTGTTGTCCGTAGGTTCAAGCATTAAAACACTTTCTCCATAAGAACAAATTAGTGTAAAATGACCAAACTATCCATTATATATATGTTAATACAGTCATTTACACTTAGTGGCTGTTTGTGATGTGCTGTATAAGTGCATTTTTTGACTAAAAAAGTAGAGAAAAAATATGTATGTTTGGGATAATTTTTTGACTTTTTACGAAAAGATGTGTAACAAAATATTGTAGTAAAATCAAAATGACTATTATACCCTTGTTGACTTTTTAACTTTTAACTTTTTGTCTTTTGGGTAGTTGAATTCAAATGGCAAAATAATAATTTTGCACTCTAGGCTTCCCCCACAAGCTTCCCTCAAATAGTATCGACTTTTTGACTTTTTTAATAACTTTTTTCCCTCTAGGCTTCCCCCACAAGCCCCATCTCTCTCTCTCTCTCTCTCTCTCTCTCTCTCTCTCTCTCTCCGTCACTATTGCAGCATAGCGCCTAGCTCGCCTCCCCTCACTCTCTCACGACCGCTCCACCATCGCCTCCACCGAAGCTACATAGAACGAAGCTATATATATATGTATATTGTTTGTATCGTTTGGTGGTGTAATGGAAAGGTACTCACAGTCCGATCTGATGTCGAAATGAAGCTCTTCGGGAGACGAAATCGGGCTCCAAGGTCACTTCCTTAACACTCATTCACCAATATTTGCCGCTACCTTCCTCCGCCATAGATCTGGAGTTTCTACCTTTCTTTCTTTCTCTATTCCTCTCTCTCTCTCTCTCTCTCTCTCTCTCTCTCTCTCTCTCTCTATTCCTCTCTCTTTCTATCTATGTTCGATCTGTTGTTGATGAAGATGATGATGATGCGTTAGATCTATGGTTGATAATTAGTGTAATGCTTGCTGCATTTTTTTGTGTGTAATTTTTGTTATTGTTGATTGTTCTTATTGTTAATGAGAAATATATTGCAACAGATAAAAAAAATTACATGGTGTATATTAATCTATGGTGTAATAGATAAAAAAATGTTATTAAGAAACATAATGTAACAGATAAAAAAAAATTATTGTAATTTTTTTTTTTTTTAGTGTGAATATGATGAAAGAGAATGGCTAGGATGAGAATATGGATGGTGCTAGGGTTTGGGAATTTTATGGTAATGTTGTTGAAGCTGTTCATGAGGTTTTGAGGTATGTATATCTGTGTATATGTATGTACATCTTGAGTGTATATATCTGTGAATGTGAGTGTGTATGCGACAGATCTGGAAAAAAAATTTGATGGTTATGATGATGATTGCAACAAATAAAAAATTATAATGGTGGCCATTGTTGAAAAGGGTTAAAATAAAGAGAGAGACAGACAGAAAAAGAGAGAGAGAGAGAGAGAGAGAGAGAGAGAGAGAGAGAGAGAAGGAAAGATTTCAACAGTTTCAAAAAAATTGAACAGATAAAAAAATTAAAACAGATAAAATTTTTTGAACATATGGAAACTTTAATAAATAAAAAATTTCAACAGATAAAAGTAATTTCAACAGATAGTCAAAGAAAAGTCAAAAAGATTAAAAAAAAAAAAAAAGTCAAGGGATAAACTTGAAAATAAAATGTTTTTCAGGATTTCTCATCAAATTATTTCACAAAGGGTAGACCTCTCATCAATAAAAAATATCTTTTGAACTTAATGCCTTACACCCTTTTTATATTGAATTTATCACCAATTAACCCTATTATCTATCACCGAATATATTTCATTAAGGGTTTTTTTGATTGATAAATCCTATTTAGAGGTGTTCTAACCCAATGAGTCCACCAAGAAAAATTATAACCTAGTTAGTTCCATGTATTTATACTTTTATTTCATGAGGTCTTTTTTTCCTGATTTATATTGTTTGTTAGACTGTTATACCATTATATCTATTACTAATATGTATTACATAAACAAAAGGATATACACAATTTCTTTTTGTTGCTACCTCTATTTTGGTAATTACTATTATTCACGTTTTTCTTTTTGATCAGTTTCATTCACATTTGTGGTATTGTTTCATTGTGCTAAGATTTCAAAACTTTCTATTTGGTAGGATTTAGAAACTCTAGTTTACACATGGTGGTGAAATAATATTATGTTCCTCCATTGTTGCGGTAAAACTTTGTTTTCCTTGATTATCATGTGTTCGAAATTCTGTGTTCGTCCATTGTTACTCTGTGTTTGAAACTCTATGTTTCTCCATTGTTGTAAGTCGAAACTCTGTTTATATCCAGTCAATTTTGTTACAAACATATTCTTCAAAGGTGAGTTTGGTTTGATGGAATGGTGAAATTACATAGATTGTTAATGATAGTGATAATGATAAAGATGATGGCAAAGATGAGGATGTGGGTTTTTTTTTTTTTTTTGTTTTTAGAGTGATTGAGTTTTTTTTTTTGGATTTCTAATTATATTGCTACCATTGTTTCTATTTTTTGTTAATTAATGTGAATGTTCACATTTCACATTGTTTGAAAGTTCGAGAAATAAGTGTTGGAATATAGATATGGATATAATTATATATTTTGCAAGATGTAAATGTTTATATATCATTGGTTATTTGTTACTATACTTGTTGTTTGAACAACCATTTTTTGTTACCATTAAACAATAGAAATAGTCTTCTTCTTCTTCTTTTTCTTCTTCTTCTTCTTCTTTTTTTTTTTTTTTTTTTTTTTTTTTTTTTTTTTTTTTTTTCATGTTTCAATGTGAATGTTCACATTGGTATAAATTTATTTTTTCTAAGGTTAATTATATATTAATTGCAAATTGTGAACATTCACATTATATTTTGGCATGAGTTTTTTTTTTTTGAATTTTTTTTTTTTGAAATTTTTTTGAAAATTAGTTGTATTTTGTTATTTTTTTTACTATGCTTGTTAGTTGAATAATATTTTTTTTTTACTATTAAACAATTGAAATAGTTGATTTTCACTTTTTTTAATTTTATTTTATATTTTCACGTTGCAGTGTGAATATTCATATTGGTATGGGTTTATTTTTTAAAAAACACTAGTTGTATATTAATTGTTAATTCTAAACATTCACATTGTATTTTGGTATAAGTTTTTTTTTTTTGAAAGTTAACTGTATGTTTGTTGTTTTTGTTACTATACTTGTTAGTTGAACAATCATTTTTATTACCATTGAACAATTGAAATAGTCAATTTTTAGTTTTGCAATTTTGTTTTGTGCTTTCACGTTGCAGTGTAAATGTTTACGTTGGTATGAGTTATTTTTTTAAGGCTAGTTGTATGTTAATTATAAATTGTGAACATTCACATTGTATTTTGGTATAATTTTATTTTTTCAAAGGTTAGTTGTATGTTTGTTGTTTATTGTGAGTATTCACATTATACTTTAGTATGTGTTTTATTTTTTCAAAAGTTAGTTATATGTTTGTTATTTACTGTGAACATTCACATTGTATTTTGATTTTCATTAAGATTTTTTGTTACGTTAGTTTTAAAATTTTAAAATTATAAAAAGGTTCAAAGTTCATAATTTGAAAATTTTTTCATGTAATGCGGAAGAGATTTTCTCCTTAGAATAAGGGAGAGATTTCTATATGAAATAAGGAAAATATTTTCTCTTTAAAATGAGGGAGAGATTTTCTCCATAAAATTAGGGAGATATTTTCTCTATAAAATGATGAACTATTGTTATGTATTAGTTTCAAAATAAAAATATATGCAAAAAAATTAGAAAGAATGATTTGATTATATTACATTAAACAGGACTTAATGAAATATTTAAAATTAAACAGGATTTAATGAATATTCAAAATATATATATATATATATATATATAGATCAGATAGGATAAAATGCTTAAAAAAAACTTCTCAAAAAATAACCCTTTTATTAATTAATCTTCCGTTATTGACCTTCCGCCCCAATCACCGAATATATTTCATTAATCACTGCCACTTCTCTTCTAACTACCTTCTGTTGTTGACTTTTCCTTCCACTTTCAACAACTCATCAAACTTGTTTATTTTACTTTATTCATTAGTTTTTAAAACATTTATCCACACTAAGCATTCATTTGGGCAGTTCGGCTGTGATGATTTGGGGTTAAAATAATTACAAAAAATAAACTGGACTTTTTAATTTTAGCTTACAAAATAGGGAGATTTACCAATAAATTCTATAAGTTATACTTGTAGACCAATTAGTCCCATTTGTTTTCTAATGAACTGTTTGATCCTTTTATTTTGTAAATGACATATTTGTCATTTTTTGAACGTTTAAAGTATGTGTTGGCGGTGGGTTGGTTTGTTTTGGGAAGCACGCGTGTGCCACACATAACTTATGTGTATTAGGGGTGTAGTGCACGTATGTTATGTTTGGGTTGGGTTGGGCACGTGGCACATTGTGGGTGTCACATAATGGGGGAGCGCACTAAAGGTTTTTTTTATGTTTATTGCCTTAGTGGGGTAGTTGTGACGTGGCACACAACCCACTCGAAATGATTGTTTGTACCACACACCTGCAACCCACACCCATGACCCGAACCCCTTTTTGAAGGAGAGGTTTTCAAATTTGTGTGAAACCCTAAATCACGGAATTGGAAAAAATTTGAATTGCGATTCTGTGCGTGATTTGGGGGGGGGAATGATAGGATTCTGGTAAAAATGAGTACACGCTTTGATGATAATGTGTTGCATGGGGTGGTTGAATAATGATTGTGTTTTTTTATTTTTTTTATATGGTTTGTGTTTGTGTTTTTGTAATATGTATGGCAGAAAGAACAGGTGTCCAATGTGATGAAGAAGTCTTTATGTGCGTTTGGAATGAAGGAGGCAGGGAGTGAAGTCGATTTTAGTCAGCCACTAGAAGCTATCTCACAGTGCCCGCAGCAGAAACCAGGCACATAAGTGCTAGGTGTTTTAGGTGTTGTTGGAATTCGTTTTTTATATAATGTTAATTGCGCAAACATATGTCTTATTGCACATAATGGCTTTGTACGCAGGCTTGATTGTGGAGTGATTGTCTTTGCGATAATGCGGCAGTATGTGCACCAGTGTGACGTGGCTCGATCTTTGCAAGGCACTAACTGTAGCGTCTTATGTGCAAACATGGTTAAGGGTTTTGTTAATGATCCAGTGTGTGGAATTAAGGACTGTAATTGAAGTTTTTGTGTTATGGCGTCATGTTGGTTACAAAAAAAGATGAACACTATGCCGTAGTTTTTTTTGTTTTGGATTCAAAGGTTGTTTTTTTTTCGTTTAGGTTTTTGGGTTGTTATTGTTACATCTAGTTATATGTGACAATACATGTCATACTATTTTTTGGGTATTATGAACGCACCTTTTTTTCGGAATTGTGTAGTTGTGGGTATGTAACAGTTACAGCTCCATGAAAATGGTATAAGCAATGTTGGATGGAAAAATGTTGTTTGAGTTTGTTGCAGTCGTTTTATGAGTTCGTTGTATATACGTATTTCCTTATGACAATAATTTACTTAAAAGCAAACAGGAAATTTATGGAGCATGTTGTTTAGTGAATTTTGTATGGATGCTGGTGCATATGCTAGTGCCACAGGTGTGGTGGTGTCCTTAGTGACAATACATTCGACAGTACAGTGTTAGATGTGGTAATGTGTGTTGTGGGTTGTATTGAAGGGGTGAGTGTGCGGAACCTTACGAAAGTTGCGCCAGTATCACTGTGTAACAGTTTACATAAATTTGGCTGGACAAAATTTAAAAATAAGCTATGAAAAGATGTGGTAAATGGTATAATCAGATTGAAGGGAAACATGCAAAGCCACAATTGTTCATATGGAAATTAAAATTGTTCTGTATGAGGTATGTAAGCATCATACATGTCTGAATGGGTGTGTTTGGTACACTCCTTTATTTGTGCAAAAAGAATTTGAATGTTGGAAATAAATGTTCGAAAACTTTTTGGGTGCCTTGAATGCTAGATTGGTTCCTTGTACGTCTTCCTATTATGATTCCCCAAACGTTTGCACCGACCACACGAATTTGTTGAACTTGTTCCCCCCTGGAAAGCATCCGTTTCTTCTTGGGCCTGCCTGATGGTATTTTGACAATTGGTGGTTGAACGACAGAAAGAGTGAACCTCATATACGTCATTGTTTGATTGGCTCACAAGCCACGATCTGCCTTTATTATACGCTTTAACCAAATGTGCTTCCATCTTCAGGCATACAACACCATGCCACGCTTCTGCCTTGCACTGACGTTTGGCCCTTTGTTGCATAATCTGAGTCCGGATACTGTCTACCATTTGAGTTATTGGAAGGTGTCTCGCATCTCGTATCCATGAGTTAAATGACTCAACTGTGTTGGAACTTATTTCGTCGTAACGTGCACCGCTAGTGGATAAAAAATGAAAAACATTTGAAAACAATTAACAATGTGAAACGTACACACAGGTTGTGATATAAAAAGCAACTTGAATATGCTATAGGCATGAATAAAAATGGTTTCCAAAAAGTTACCGGAAATAAGCGTTCGCCCAATATGAAAGGGGCAAATCCTTAAAAAATGCCGGTGCGACATTACGTCCGGATTTTATGAACTCCCTTAAACTATGGTTGAATGCAGCCACAGTTAGAGCATATGCACACCCTCGGAATTTAGCCAACAACCCAGCCCGGTACGAATTGTTCACGTATCGCATTTTATCTTGCAAGTTCCGTTGCAAATGTTGTAAGCAGAATGCATGATGGGCGGTGGGGAATACGATGGGTATTGATTCTATCAATCCAGTATGTCGGTCTAAAACGAACATAAGTATTTTATGTCCATTCACCACATTCACAAGGTGTCCCAAAAACCAAGACCAGTTGGCAGTGTTCTCTGAATCAACGATCGCGATAGCTAAAGGAAACAATCATGTGTTTTTTTTTCCCAATTAAGAACAAAACAAGCAATTTTGATTAAAACATGTTAACAAATTTAATGGGAGGACACACAATCGGGTGGCATAAACACACCCCCCCCTACAAAAGTCACGGCACAAACAAACCCATAACAGCCTCCCCACACCCCAAGTGTGTGAAAACACACCAAAGTGTGGATATGAAATTAAATAATGAAAAATCATAGTGAGTGACAACATACCTTGGTTACCATCTTTTGCAATGGCGGCTAATAAGTTCCCTTGGAATTACCCTTTTAGAAACGTGTCGTCCAAGAAAAGTAACGGTCTACAATGGTTGAATCCATCAATACATGCTTTGAATAATATGAAATACCTTACGAAACGATTGTTTTGATCGTCGTAGTCAATGTTGATATAACTTCCCGAGTTGTTCTCCATAACTACATTACTATACCACCGTAATTGCTCAAACGAAATTGAATGTGCACCAAACATTTCCCCGCGAGCTTTTTCAACACCTAACCATGTGACCCGGTAACTAACCTTTAAACTGTAATCTTTCTTCAAGTCGTAGACAACATCGATAGGCCGTGTCAGTGGTTTGTCACGTACCCTCTCGGATATAACATTACACACTAAATCAGACCCGGCACGCGGATTAGTGGGTGTCCGCACAATGACACCATAAATATGCTCGCTATTCCATTTACGAATGTAAAAAAATCCATTGCCATGTAAGACACGTGCGTGTATAGACCACATGCATCCTTTGGTTTCCCTCATCATGCATATTGCTGTAATCTGAACGGAATCATTCTTTACATATTTGAACCGAAATCGACACTCAACGGCATACTTGAGAAGAACCGTTCAGAACTCAATAGCTCTCCCCTCAAAACTTTGCCCAACATGTTGAATCCCATTAGCCCACGAAGTTGACAAAAAAACCTTTTCTACATGAGGACAAAATTTGGCTAATAAATCTTGTTCATCATCCACATCCGTCTCGTCAAATGGACCATACGTCTGACGTGGGACAGTCCATGCATTGTGAGGCGAGCTGTCAATGTTATCGGCATCTTCGATGTCTCGCAACTGAATGATGATGTCAACACATTGTAGGCGAAAAGACCGCGCAAGTGAGACCATGTTCTCCATATCAACATCCTTCTTCAACGCGAAGTTATTGTAACTTGGGATTTTGAAAAACAAACACACATTCTCGGTTGTCAACCCCAAAAAATTGCCACACACATGGTTCACCAGATCATGGTAACAAAACGGGCTTCCAAATTGACGACGGCATTTGTATTACCGTAACAACAAACCAGCATGACATTCGTGTCCATTACCTGTATACATTTAACATAACATCAATAACATAACCCATACCAAACAATGTCACACAACTCCCCCCGACTACCACAACCCCAAACTCAACCAGTGCCACAAATCCCTTACTAATAACATACACGCAACCCACCCATTGAGTCCTTCACCCCTTCAGTTCATCGACTACAACACTTACTATTGTCAAGTCGTAACACATTTCAGACCCACCCAACCACTTCGAAAACAAAAATGAAAACGAAAACAATGACACCCTAACATGGATACAAAGAACCCCATCACAAAAACTGAGACTACCAACAAAACAAAGCAACTCTGCATTATTATGAAGGGAAAAAAATACATACCTGCATGACGGTGAGTTTGACAATTAGAAAATGCTACCCCTACTGCGACGTCACACAAACGGCGCACCAACCCCCCCTCCCCCCCCCAAAAAAAAACCAAAAACCCTAACAATCAAATTGTGGAAATGTGTATCACCGAATCAATGAACTTACCAGAAATGAAAGTGATCCCACCAAAAATAACCCAATGAAATAGGAAAGGGCATAAGTGTCCAAGCCTCACTACCAAAGTTGGAAAATAGGATCAGATAGATCTAAACCTCTCCACCAGTAGGACTTATCCGATAAACATTTCAAAAGTGGGACTAATTGGTATAGTTGTTTATGAGATGAGATTTATTGGTAAATATTCCTAAAAAATATCATATCTAAAGTATAATTATTTTATTTTATTTTACAAAAGTTAAAAAAAATAAAAAAAAAGTTATTCCAAACAAGATTTTAATCTCAAATTTAAAAAGTCAAAAAGTCAACCAACATCCCAAATGAAGCCTAAATATATTTTTTACTTTTATTCTTGTAAAAAGAAAAAAATATTTCTAATTTTGTTATAATAAAAATTAAAAATTAACAATGTTATTAAACGAAAACAACGGTGTCTAATTTGACGGGTAATGTTAGAAATATCAAATTTTCTACTAAATAAATGATTAAACATTTCTCATAGGTGTGGGGTCTACAAAAGTGTGAGGTCTACACTCATGTGAAACATTTAATTATTTATTTAATAGAAAATTTAGGACCTATAATATTTTCTAATACTTGCCTACGTGGCTTAATAAGTGGATATCCCAATTTGACCAAAACAAGAAAACAGTCAAATGAGGCAACTTGCTCTTCACCGTAATCATTCAAGCAAAAATCTAAACTAAATTTTGATGTAATACTAAAAATTATACACAGTTATAAAAAATTAAAAAAAAGTTTATTGGTAATATATAAAATCAAATATAAAAAATCAGCAGTTTTTTTTTTTTTTTTTTTTTGGAAGGGTGGATATCCTGCACCAATTCAGCCTGGGTTGGACTGGTTGGGTAATAAAATTGATTGATCACGAGTCCCTATTATAATTTTGTACGAGTCCCTGTTAAAATATGTTAATTCCATATTGTAGACACCCCATTTTTGACCGACCTTGAGACTCAGGCGTCACCAGTTGAGCGCTCGTTGATATTGCATATTGTGCTCGTTCAGAAATTTCAGAGTCTCGGCTGCGAGCCTAGCCTCCGAACTTCCGGTCTCTTTTGTGCTTTGCCTCGGTTTGCGAACCAGGCTTCGTTTTCTCCGTTTTCTCTTCCCGAAGGGAGGGAGAGGTCTCGTAGATCGTCTCTCAGTGGCCGTAGGCTACGTTTCGTGGTCGTAGGCCATTTTGCCCGTTTGGAGCCCGGTTTCCAGTTTTTCGGAGCCGTTGGCCGTGTGCCTCGGTTCGGGACCGCTTAACCACCTCCATTTGCCCCGATTTTTGGTATACATCTTATTTGCTCCCTTTTGAGGGACACTGTGGTCCGAGAGACCAACTTCGTGGTCGGACACCGCTTCCGGTGCCTAACAGTCAGTTTTCGGGGTCTCGGGTTGCGCGTTCCGGCCCCCTAACCTTCATTTTGCATCGGTTTTGGTTCATTTTTGGCTGGGACCTCTGTTTCATAGCTAGGAAGGTCATAGAAGGATGGGAGGCCAGTAATTGTTCTGTCAGCCAACTTTATCCCTTCATCGCCCTCCGTCGCCCGATTTTTCTCACTTCAAAGCTAATGTTGACCACCCTTGGGCCATTTTCTTGCACCCTAAACCCCATACTTGTGATGTACACATCTGGGAGGCCACCAATATTTGGTGGCCAGCCAATAATTGTTGTTGAACCTTTT